TGGACATTACTAGTATATAAGCCTTTAATGACACGCGAACCATGACACACAGTGATTTATGATACGCAAATGTGTGTGTCCTAAAAATAATATCATCTTTCCCAAAATTTAAAGGATTTAGGACACGCATTTTTGTGTGCCCTAAAATTGGTGTCTAAACAAAAAAAATAAAAACATGGTGGGCACCTACAATAAAATGTGTGTCGTCTAAGGATGTCGTTTTATAAATTTTAATAGAACGCATGTTCCATCCTTTAATAGCTAGGAGGGAAAATGAAATCCCCAAAAATTAAAAACCCCGCCTTGTGCTGAAAACCCTTGTCTCCTTTACATGGCTGAAAACGTCATTCTCATCAGATTTCCAGAGCTATCTCCCCATTTTGTCGAGTTTGTTGTAAACTGCAACATTCTTAAACTAGGGGATTTAATTAAATACCATAATCCAAACCCTTTCTGGTAATTGGGAACCAATTAGGGAAAAACGCAACCCTCAGACCAATTTTGCTCTCAAGAAACCTCAGGTACATACACTTTTTCTCCTCTTCCTCTTCCTCTTCTTCTCCGTACGGTTTCTCCTCCCTTCCTCGTCGGTGGTCGCTGCCACTGCCTATTTCGGCCAGCCCTTCCCTTCCTTTTTCCCCATCCCAGGAGCATTTGTCGACGACTTCTCCACTTCATCCGTTCAACAGATCGTCGATCACTGCCTCTACGATACCATCAACCACTCCAGACCTGTGAACAACATGTCTAAATCTCGTGTCTACGCGGATGTCAACGTTGTTCGCCCTAACGAATACTGGGATTACGAAGCACTTACTGTTCAGTGGGGGTAACCTAACTAAACTCTAGATTTTACTTTAATTTCTTTGATTATCTCATGATATGAAATAATAGACAGAATAATTTGATTTATGTGTTGTTACTTGTCTTAATTTGATTCAAATTCATTTCAAATTGTAACTAGGGTTGAGATTTGCTTACAATTACAGCTTTGTTTTGCATTTTCTCAAAATGCATTTGCTACTGTTTTCCATATAGGCGTACATGTTATTTGTTGAACATGGAGATGGATTCGTTTTCCATATAGCCTGATGATTTCTACCCTTTCTGGTTATTGTTATTTTGTGCATTTTTATGATATAAAATGCTATTTTTTTGTCTGTTGGATTCAGTCGACTGCTTTGATCATGACACATAGAAGTGTTTCAGGTTGTAAAGATAAATGCACTTGATTTTCATCACGTTGCGGATCTATTGGTAACAACAGGTGAAGATTATAATTATGGGTTTGTTTGAATTTGGTTGCAGGCTTCAAAGTGTGGCAAGAACCCTAGTAAGTTCATTTTTGTTTTTTGGAAATAACATATATACATAAGAATCAGATAGATTATATATGATTTTGCATTTCTTTTTTTTTTTTGTTTTCAGAAGGAGATATGCCTGATTGGAGCTGGAAGTGTGGTAAATGTAACAACATAAACTACTCATTCAGAACGAAATGCAACAGAAAGAATTGTATTGCTGAAAATGAGAAAATCTACATCCAAATGGAAGTGTGTGATCAGATTCGTTCCATGATCAACAACTCCAACAGATTATATGCAGAGAGTGAAGTGTTGGAAGCAATGCACCAGGTTAATTCTTTTTAATCTTCAATGACATTCATATAATATTACATTATATTAGTAAATTATGATTATAATTATGGGTTTGGTTATAGATTGCCAACGCTATTTCATGCATTTAGGTCTTTTTTGGTTAAAATGCAAGAAATAGCAGTATACTTTAATTGATTTGACTTGAAAAAAATACAATTTACTCTTTTTACTACACAAGCCATTTTATGTCCCCAAGTGTAGGAAATAGCAATGTACTTTTCTATTGCTTGCATTTAAGCTTCTTTTACCACAAACAAGTTGAAGTAAGTTGCTATTGCATGCATTTAGGCCTTTATGGGTTAAAATGCAAGAAATAGCAGCATGCTTAATTGATTTGACTTGAAAAAAAACATAATTTACTCTTTTTACTACATAAGTCATTTTATATCCCCAAGTGTTGGAAACTTGTAGAAAATGAGTCAACACTAGCTAAGTTGATGCATCTTCAAGTGGTGAAGTTGTAAGGCTTAAAGCTACCTTGGAGACTATCAAAAGAGAGCTTACTTACGAATTCCTTTTAATGTTGTGTTTTGTTTTTCTATAATAAATATTACACAATATTAACAATTTATTAATTACATTCAGATATTATTAGACTGATTATTTGTATTTGACATATTATATTTTGTGCAATGAATTATGTTTCTTGTGTATGGTATTTTATTTTGAATTATGAGACTTTAAATGTGTTAATTAATTTGAAAATTAGTAAATCTATCAAAAATATATATATATATTTAATTTTAAATTATGACACGCAAAAATGTGTGTCGTCTTTCTTTATGACATGGGCTTTAATGATACGCATTGCGTGTCGTAAACGCGTGTCGTAAATGCACGTCGTAAGGTTACGACACACAAATGCGTGTCGTCTTTCTTTATGACAGGGCCTTCCTTGACACGCATTTACATGTCGTCTTCTTTTATGACAACGCCTTCCTTGACACGCATTTACGTGTCATCTGTGCCCTTTTACGACACACAATGTGTGTCATTAAAGGGTATTTTTTTAGTAGTGGGAAATGTACATCTCTGGAAATGATAATCTTTTGAGCATGTATATCATATATTTTATATATATGATAACCAATGAAAACACATAGAGATGCTCTAGGTTTGAATTTGTCCATATTAGCCTTTAATATGCTTGCAAATCAGAAGCATCCAAAAGCCTGTAATCTGTTTATAAGATAAGTAAGTTCATAATCATATAGGTTGAAGAATGGAGTTTTACCTTAAAGGAGTTTTGCTGGAAATCTGTTTATAAGATAAGTAGCAGCGAGAATGCAATCACCCTGTAAACTAATTTGAAGATTGGATTGAAAGAGTAGAGCTATAGCATTTTCAAGCAGATGCTTATTTTTCTCTCTGCCACAGGGACAATTTATGAAGTTTTGTCTAGAATTTATTACATTATTACAATTAGTGCTATTTCTAGTATTAGTTTCTTAGATAGTCGGCTCGTACCAAAAGGCTTCTAGCCCAACGGTATTAGGTGTTGTTCTCCCTCCTTAATATCGAAAGTTTAAGTCTCGTTTGACACATATGTAGATTTAGGAGTAGTTTAGGATTAAATTAGATTTTCCGTTTCATAAAAAAAGATAGTCGTCTCGTTTAATTTTCATGTGCACGGTGTGTATGTCGAATGTATCCTATGAAAGCAGCATCTCTAGTTTTGGATGACAATAAAATTGTCTACATCTAAATTTCTTTAGCCATGCATAAAAAATTGGTTTTTGTGGCTAGTTGCTATTGTTGATAATGATGAAATAAGCAACAATCTTCTATGTAGAAGAGTTATGCATAAACTCCAAAGTTAAATTGTCTCTTCGCTTGAATATGAATATCCCCTTTTTAGCGCCAATCTTCTCGGTAGAAGAGTTATGCAAAAATATATTAACCACTTATTTCCAAAGTTCAATTTTGTCTCTTTACTTGGATATGAATAGTTTTAAAAGGGTGTTGAAATGCCACCAAAAGTATCATGTGAAACACATATGACAGCTCGACAAACTGATAGACTGACCATTAATGGACACCGATTAAATTAAGAGAAATTTCCAAAATAATCATTCTATAGTTTTTAGTGTCAAAAAATAACTAAAAAAACAAGGTTTTTCAAAAATGATCAAGTAGTCTAGAGAGGGAGTTGGAATGTCTTCTGCAAAGCCAAAGTGTCGTCAGCCTGTTAATTGGCTGAGGACCTTTTTTTCCATCTAAATTTGTTTTTTTGCCATATTTTTTTTTCTTTATAATTTTTTTTTGAAGAAAATTAAAGTTTTTAAGATTTCAAAAATAAATTCATGTTGATATAAAACCTTGAATTTTTTTTTTTTTTAAAAAAACATTAGTTTTGCATTAATTTTTATTTTTATAAAAACCAAAAATATTTTTTAAAATTTTGATATACTTTCTTTTATAAAAAAAAAAAGTTTATACCATTTTAGATCATATAATTTTGATTTATAATACTTTGGTTCAAAACTTGAGAAATAATCAACATTTGGGATCAAATCTTTTCAAACCAAATAAAGCTTTTTACTATAGATTTTGGTTGATAACTAATTCCGATTCATAAGATTTTGGTAATAACATTTTAAATCATATAGCTTTAAATCTTAATATTTTTTTTTTAATCATAACAATAAAAAAATCAAAAACATATTGAATTATAATATAGTGCATAAACAATCTCTAAAATTTTCATTTTATTTGGAAACAACTTTTTTTTTAGTTTTTATAAAAATAAAAATATTTTTTTTTCAAAATTTGATGATTAAACAGACGTGAAAACTTGTTAAAAGTACGATGGATTCGTTGAATTTTACCAAAATACCCCTAAAATTTGGTTCAAAGCTTGGACTGCAGAAGACCCTCTTAAATTAACAATCCCTATTCTAATAAATAAATAGTTTGAATCTCCTTTTGTCAATTGTCACTCTAATACAACTCCTTATTAATATTATGTCATGTGTCAAGTAGATATATTACGCAACTCATTTCAAAATTCAAATTTACATTTTCTAATTATATGTTAAGAAGTTATAATAACTTTAAAATTTTATATCTCTTAATTAATAATTTATTTAAAATGATTTATTTAAAATAATTGATTAATAATTATAATTTTTTATTATGAAAGTTTAATTAATTTTATAACCGTGGTTCCCACGGATTAGAAACTAGTTACTATATGAAAATATTACAATTACTATATGCGACAGTCACGTTTCATTAAGATAAATCCTTATTCCGTATCGATGTATTTGAAAAATAATGCTCCTTTTGTTTTTCAAATTTGTCTTCTAATTCAACCTTATATCATTAGAAAAAAGATTAGGCCCAAAACTGACACTAATTGACATTTGATAAATCTAAAGTTAACAAAAATCCACCAAATTGATTTAGTTTACAAATAACAAGTTCAAAATAATAACCCAATGTCACTCAAATAATATATTATTTTACTTCAACTCTAGGCCTTTCCTTATTTCAGTTGATGAAATGTCCATTCGAAACCTATCAACTGGTATCGAAATAAACATGTCTTTTAACTCATCTGGAATCTTAAAATCTTCCAAAACCTGCAATAATATTATAACTTAATCGCGTTTCATTACTTCATCAAAAAAAAAAAAAAAGGATGTGACAAGTTCCGGAAACTTCCATGAAATGTGATCAAACCTTAAAAACACCATCCATATTTCGACCACCTACGAGGAAAGTACATCCTGTTCTTTTGCATCCGACAAGTGTTTCTATCATATTCTCATAGCTGCCACCATAGTACTTTGGCTGGAGAGAAGAGAGAGAAACCATATCCATATTAAAATATAGACTAATTTTTAAAAAAATAAAATAAATAAGAATTCATACATTTATAAGCCTTGCTGCAGTATCAGCACCAATTACAAAAGCACTACCAGGAAACAGCTCTGCTTTTTTATAGAAATACGGCTGATTAGAAATAATCACTGTTTTTCCTGCATTTTCAAACACTCATTTATGCTAACTTTTATATCAATAATTTTATTTTCAAATATAAATTCAAAAAACAAACTCACCAGCTTTTTCAAATTGTTTAACACGATCTTTAATCTGTGAAACTGTCAATGGAGGTTTGTCTGCATTTATGGCTGACAACTCAAAGCATGGATACCCCCCACTACAAAGGCTGCATCATGTACTATCAATCTTTAAAATTTAATTACAAAAACAATCTCCAAATTTTTTTTATGAAAACAATACTTATTTGCTAAAAATAACCTCATTGCAACTTCAAGGAGCTTAAGGTGTCCATCATGTAGAGGATTAAAAGATCCAGAAAGAATTACTTTCCTATCTCCATTTGAAGTTTGTGTGCCTGTAAATCATTGACTTCATAATAAAGATTAACAGAAGACAAAGTTTTTTGTTGGAAATATGTTTGGGAAATTACTTATTTAACCTTACCATTTGAAAATGGGAAGATTTTGAAACATATTTTGCCTTGTATTAGTTGTTCTAGTTCCTGGTCTTCATCAAAATGCAACTCACTTACATCAGGAACTTCACCTTCAGTCAAATCTGAATCAAATGTTACTGAATTTGGAACCTTGCAAGCTTCTGCAATCGCCTGTTACATTAGCAAAAAGATCATTATTCAGTCATTTACACGTAATTTATAAACATAAAAATTTATAAAGAACTTGATTTTATATCACATACCTTGAGTAAAACTTGGCTTGATACTCTTTCTTCTTGATCTCGGTTTCTCAAACCCTGCAATGAGTAATTGAAGTTACAAAGAGTTTTGTAAATTTTAGTAACTCTTAATTTCATACTATCATTAAGCTTTTAAGTACATGGTGTTAAGTTCTTGAGAGATTTAGAAGATTAAGAGTTTATAATTGCTTCTCATTTGTATATCAGGATATATATATACATTAGTATTGATTTAAGTCTTCTTTAGTGACCTTATTGTGTATGAATACGGGAATTATGATTACACAGAAAAGAAGGTACTTTGAGGGAAAAAAAAAAATTTCCTAAAAGAATATGCACACACTCACACACTTAAAAGCAAAGGAGAAGATTAACCTTACCTTTGACAAAGTTACTGAAGAAGCCCAAAGCCTGTTAGAAGTTCGTGTTGACAAGTAAAACCTGTAAATGAATAAAAAAACACAAATTAGAGCATCAATCTATCTACACACACACACAGTTAAAAGCCTTAACTGAATAAGCTATAAAGAGGTACCTGTGATCCCCAAGTTTTGGACGTGTGGTAGCCAAAGAACCAGTAAATCCCACACCTACTACAGGAGAACCTATACAAGAAAAAGAAACTGCATATGTTAAGAGGCTGCATTTCATCTGAAAATAAGATTAATCAAGGCATAAAAACAGGAAAGCAAACAAACCAGAATATGAATGAAGATACAGAAAAAGTCTAGGTGATTTTCCTTATAGTGATTGTGTGCATCTTTTTTGTATGCATAGATTCCATGAGGAAATAAGGAAGCTATACTTTCATAATAGTCCTAAATTTCGGCTTCAAGATACTTCCTTAATATCTAACTTCAAATTGACAAAAGTAGTGCATTTTTTCCTACCATCTATAAGTCCATACTGCATAAGGGATAATATTAACAATAGAACAACTGAATCAATCATCACTGATGACTACAAGTACAACATCACAACAAAATTATCATCTCACTACACTCAAAAGGTACCTGAGGGTGCAAAGATAATTTTCTGCTTTTCAATTTTCATGACCTAAAGAATAATACGATGATTACCTGGTTTGGAGAGCTTTAGAGCACGATTATAAGCCACTAATGCCATGTCTTCAGCAGTCTCCTTGCTAGTGAATTGAACAGGTACCTACTAACATATCACAAGTCAAGCATAAATTTGTAAAACATGGATATAGATAACTCCCTGCGTTCCCAAAAAGAAGTTATAGAATCATATTCACAGTCTTAATTTTATAATTTTCGACTACATCTCTAATTTTACCCTTCAATTGAAAAGGGCCACACACCTTCCCAAGCAATTGGATCATTGACATACGAGAATAAGGAACAATAACTTCAAGAACTGTGTTTGACGCTCCAGGAACTGCCGCCAACCACCCTAAGACCTGAATTTAAAGAGTAAAACGCATATCAGAATCCAATTGTATGTGTGTTTGAATTTGTTGTTGGATATATAGAGAATAGAATGGCGTCTGACCTGTGAAGCACCGCCGGAGAAGTAGAGGACGGCCTGAGTAGGAGTGGAGTGAATCGCTTCAACTAGTGCTCGAATCAAACTGTCCGTCATCGTCCGTTTCTCTTGCTTCGATGGTCTCTCTTTGGATCTATCTGTTGTGATTGTCGCTTATTAACGCTAACCAGGATTGGAACTTTAATTAGGGGTGTTAGAGTTATGAAAGTCGTTATTGATTTATTAGCTTTTTAAAAGCGCTAATAAATCTACACAATTAGTTGGCAACATTTTTCATAACTGTTTTTTTTGTAACCTTTAAATAAATAATTTTATAAAAGTCAAGAATTGTGAATGATAACAAATACTCCATCCGTCCCAATCTTATCGTCCACAGACAAAAAACACACATATTAAGAAAAACATTAATTACCACTAACTTTATTTAATAAAATGATAGTTTTGTCCTTACTTTGCATTTAATGTTCCATTAAATGCTAAGTTGGTTAAGTAATAATGAGGGGGTATTTTAGTAAAAATATTATTTATTTTTAGAAGTGACTATTATTTTGGGACAAACCAAAAAGGAAAGATAAACTATAATTTTGGGACGGAGGGAGTAATTTATAGCTTATATATAACAGAAAAACCATCTTATTCTTACAAACCTATTAAGATAATCCAAATATTGACTTATTAACTTATAGTTTTTTCAAAATTAAATAAGATAATCCAAACACTTTTTAATTTAAACTTTTTATAACCATATAAGCAAATCCCAAACACCCATTAGTTAATTATACGAAAAATCCTAGAAAAAAATAGTAAAATTGAGTAAACTAACCAAATATTTGTAGCACCATTTTTTTTGGCAAACTAATGATTCATTATGGAGTGGAGTTATCCTACCACACACATTGTGTATTCAGTTCCGGATTGAATGTCTGTTACATATGGGATTTCGGAATATATGTTGAAATATCATCATGTTTCGGAGAAAGTAGGCAAACAGAGATGACATCCGATTCCGATGAGTCAAAGGTTTTACGAGTTAGTTTCTCATTTATTTACTTGTACCTGTTAAGTTTATATTTTTAAGTGAAAAAATTTAGTCCGGAATCCAATGAACATGTCTGAAATGCGAAAAACAGCTCTCAAAAATAGTATTAGTTCATATATAGTGTCTTAGGTAGGTAGTTAATTTGTCTTAGTAACAACCCTAAACATTAGATAAGTAGTTAGGTTAACAATATCATACTACTAGTCATTTTGTAATGAAATTCGTGTTCCAGAATACATAGAACTAGTTGGGAATACGAAGAATAAGTCCAGAATGTATAGAAGAGTCTAGTCTGGAACACCATGACTGATTTACAATGTCATATTGAACTTAATTTCATTTTGAGTTTTTCATCGTGACCACAATTTTGATGATTCCCCTACAATGTTTTGCAAACCTATCATTATTGTGTATATTCTTGGTAAATTCAAGAACCGGCTACCATGTGAGGCTATCCTCTGACATAAATGTTTTGGTAGTTGGTTAGATTTTCTTGTTGGGGTAGACGGAGACACTTTGCTTTTACAATACAAATCTTGCGAAGAAGTTGTCATAGATTCTCGAAGCGATGTGGAGGAAATGTGTAACATCCCAAATTTCAAGGCCAAAAATTTCATTTTTAAATAAGTTATTACATAAAACCATCAGTATAAAAACATTCATAATAATATCTCATGTCAAATCCAAAGTGTCAATAATCAAAACGTATTATCATAAAACCATATCAGAGTGCAATCCTAAAGATCTCATTTGCGGAAAACATAGTGTGATGCGTTGCGATCAAGCCGACTCCTTTCCTTTAAACACGAAGTACCTGAAACCAAAACTGAAAACCGTAAGCACGAATCTTAGTGAGTTCCCCCATCATACCACATACCATACAAACACATAGCCTACATACTGCCGGGCAATTCTGGGGTGCCGACCTACCTGGTACGACCATTCTGGGGTGCCGACCTACCCGTGTCAAGCCATTATGGGGTGCTGACCTACCCGTGTCAAGCCGTTCTGG